CCGACTCAAGTCTCATGTCCCCTCCTTCACTGCGCCGACTCCGTCTCTCCCTCGGGAACCTGGACTCTGCTGGAGCTGGACTCCGGCAGCTACCAATTTAAGAAAACTAGTTTTGGGGCCGGCCCAGTGGCGCAGCGGTTAAGTGCACACATTCTGTTTCAGTGTCCTGGGGTTCGCCAGTTTGGATCCCGGGTGCAGACATGGCACCGCATGGCAAGCCATGCTGTGGCAGGCGTCCCACATATAAAGTAGAGGAAGATGAGCATGGATGTTAGCTCAGGGCCAGTCTTCCTCAGCAAAAAGAGGAGGATTGGCAGCAGATGTTAGCTCAGGGCTAATCTTCCTCCAAAAAAAAAAACAAAACTAGTTTGTCCTTTAGCTTTTTGATGTGTTTTTAATTATTTATTTTAAAAGTTGTAGTAAAATATACATAATACAAAAATTTACCATTTAAACCATTTTTCAGTGTACCGTTCAGTGGCATTAAGTACATTCATACTGTTGTGCAACCATCACTACCATCCACCCACGGAACTTTTTTCATCTTCCCAAACTGAAACTGTGTCCCCATTAAACACTAACTTCCCCTCCTGCTCTCCCCCCAGCCCCTGACAACCGCTGTTCTACTTTCTGTCTCTATGAACTTGACCACTCTAGGTACTTCATAACAAGTGGAATCATACAGTATTTGTCTTTTTGTGACTGTCTTATTTTACTCCGCACAATGTCCCCTAGGTTCATCCATGTCGTAGCGTGTGTCAGAATTTCCTTCCTTTTTAAGACTGAATAATATTCTATAGTATGGACAGACCATATTTTGTTTATCCATTCATCCACTGATGGACATTTGTGTTGCTTTGACTTTTTAGCTATTATGAATAATGCTGTTATAAGCATGGGTGCACAAATATCTCTTGGAAATCCTGCATTCATTTATTTTGGGTGGATATCTAGAAGTGGAAATGTTGGATCATAAGGTAATTCTATTTCTAATTTTTTTTAGGAAGATTAGCTCTGAGCTAACATCCACCACCAATCCTCCTCTTTTTGCTGAGGAAGACTGGCCCTGAGCTAACATCTGTGCCCATCTTCCTCTACTTTATATGTGGGATGCCTGCCACAGCATGGCTTAATAATTGGTGCATAGGTCTGTGCCTGGATCCTAACTGGCAAACCCTGGGCCGCCAAAGCAGAGCACGCAAACCCAACCACTGCACCACTGGGCCAGCCCCTTCTATTTTTAATTTTTTGAGGAACTATCATACTGCTTTCCATAGTGACTTCACCATTTTACATTCCCACCAACAGTGCACCAGGCTTCCGATTTCTCCACATCCTTGTCCACACTTGTTATTTTTCATTTTGTTGATAGTAGCTGTCTAATGGGTGTGAGGTGGTGCCTCATTGTAGTTTTGATTTGCATTTCCCAAATGATCAGTGATGTTGAGCATCTTTTCATGTGCTTCCTTATCAACCATTTGTATATCATCTTTGGAGAAACGTTTTTTCAAGGTCTTTGACCATTTTTGAATCCGATTTTTTGTTGTTGTTGAGTTTTAGGTGTCCTCTGCATATTCTGGATATTAATCCCTTATCAGATATATGATTTGCAAATATTTTCTCCCATTCGGTGGGTTGCTGTGGACCAAATCCTTGTCTTAGAAAACATCAGAGGAGAGTGAGCATAACTGACTCCCAGTAGGCTGCTCAGGCCCACATAGCCAGGCTCCCCGTCTGCCGCCAAGCGAGCAAAATAGGTCATTAAATATATAGTACAGGGGCCGGCCCCGTGGCCAAGTGGTTAAGTTCGTGTGCTGCACTTCGGCAGCCCAGGGTTTCGCCAGTTCGAATCCCTGCGGACATGGCACCGCTCATCAAGCCATGCTAAGGCAGCATCCCACATGCCACAATTAGAGGGACCCACAACTAAAAATACACAACTATGTACTGGGGGACTTTGGGGACAAAAGGAAAAAATTTTTTTTAAATCTTTAAAGAAAAAAAATATATAGTACAGCAAGAGGGGACGGCAGCTGCACATGCCCTGGCCAGCTGGAAGTCCAGGGCAATATGACTGTTCATTGCCACTCGTGCTGGAGAGTTTAGAACAATCAGTCTGTGAAAAACATACAAACCCATCCAGAAAAATCAAGATGAAACCAAAGGGACCAAACCAGTGCCTAGCAAGTTAGTTTGGTTCCGTCTCTGTGAGCGGCGGCTGCTCCCTCCTGGATTCAACATCTCTTGGGACGTGTCTGATTAAGACTCTTCATTGGTCAGTGGTCAAGTTGAGGGTGGCGGCAGATTTCTAAGCTAAACTGGCCAGATGTCCGGCAGACAAGAGCCGAGAGAATTGGTGGTCCCTGTCTCCACTGTGACCTCCCAGGTCTAAGCGGTCCCCTTCCCTCCGCCGCCCTGCCATCCCCATGACCTGTCTCTGCAGTAATCACTTCCCTGTTTCCCAGCCTTCCCACATCTCACTCACACCATTTCCCCAGACCTGCCCCTGGGGGGCTCCGCGATTTCTTCCTTAGACACTTTGCACCATCCTAAAACACCTCCCACCACCTGCTTTGTGGGCCATGCCAGGTCCGCCTCAGAAATTGTCACCTCTTGTTCATGAGCATCATCGTCAACATCCATAATCGCCCAAACCCACCCAGCAAGCTTAGCGGTTGCAAAGGTGAGAGTCCCCCGCCCCCACATTCTTTTTTGCCAATTGCAAATTCCAGTAGCCGGGTTGCCAGTGGGCAGGCACTGGAAGGAAAAAGGGGAGTGAGATGGGTTAATTATGTGGTTTGGTCTCTTACAGCCTCCTCACCACTCCCTAACCTCATAATTAAACATTCTGGTTAAGTGGGGGTACCCTTTTGGGGAAAATGCCAAATTAGAGCCCAAACTGGCAGTGTGTGCTGCCCTGGGCACAGAGCTCCAGCTGTCCACTTGTCTTTTTCAGCTTCTCCTTTAAAGTCCATCTTTTGGTGACACCTGCTGCCTGGCAGCGCAGGTCTGAACAGCGTGTTGATTCCACTGATGTTGCACGCGGGACACGAGTGAGGAGTTGTGGGCCTTGTGCAATCTTCCAGTCCTCCCGCTGCCAGACACCTGGCCACACTGCCCAGGGGTCAGTGAAAATGTAACCAGGTGCAATCCGGGGGCTGCGGTCCAGGGCAAGCACCACAGCCCGCAACTCTGGCCATTAAGCAGAGTTCTCTTTTCCGTGCACACTTGGCAGCAGCAGCGGCCCAGGCCACCAGCAGCCCTCCCATGTACCTTAGCTGCTCTTACCTGATCTTACCCGGCCCAGGCAATCCTTGATGCACGGATGCCCCCGGATGGCTGGCAGGCTGTCTCCCTGCGGCCACGAGGCCCAATGACACTTAATGAGAAACTTAGAGATTCCCAGAAGATTGTCATCAAGGCTTTTGAAAACGAAGGTCAGTGCCTCAGGATGCAAATGCAAAGAAGTCTAGAGGCTATTTGCCAGCTACTATGAATATTAGTATAAGGACGGCAGCCACACAGAGTCCTGTTTGAGCAGTTCAGGTTATATGTCATCGAGAACTTGTCTTCGCCTAACAGTTTCTGGCCAGTATTGTTTCTAAGGACAAAACTAGTCAAAGTCTTTGTGGCTTTGTCCTTTGGACTGTGTGACCCGTATCCTTAAGGTTCTTTATGTTTGTCGCAGGAAACCTCATTGTCAGGATGTTTGTTATAGAAAATCGGGGCTGTTTGCTTGAAGGAATGTATATCTTTGTCCTGGAAAATCAGCTTAGCTCACTAACCTCACACTTCACAGGGTCCTCATAGCTAACCCTATCTGCTGGGTTAGGTTGTGGAAATTCTCTCGCTGGCCAGGAAAGCTATTTCTAGACCAGCGATTCTCAACCCCAGCTAATGACATCGGAATCCCTGGGCGTGGGCCCCGGCACGGGAATGTTTAAAAAGCTCATAGCTGACTCCAGGATTGAGAATCACTATTTTACATTTTCTTCAAAAGCAAAAATAGAATGGTGTTTATAACAGATTGGTTTTTAAGATACATACAAATCTTGCTCTTCTCCCCAGGGCTCCCATTTCATTTTTTGCCTCTTCCCTCAGTGTTCAGCAGTGACACTTTTTTTTAATCCTTGTGACTATTTCATTGGTTCCAGCAATGTGAACTGAGCCCCTGCTATGTATGGGCCACCGTACCAGGCAAAGATGACCTAACTCCGCCTTCAAGGAGCCCCCGGGAGAGACGAGCACGTACGTGGATCCATTACAACGCAGTGGGGAGGATGTGTACGGGGCATCATGGGAGCCCAGAGGTAGGCAGGGGAGGTCACAGAGGGCTGCCTGGAAGAGGTGACTCCCAAGGTGAATCTTAAAGTGTGACCGGGCACAGCAGCCCTCCACCTTTCAAATTTACTCTCTGCAGAGGGCTGTGGGTTGAGAACAACTCGAATAGGGAAGCTCACATGGTGGATGGTTGAATGAGAGGTGATCTCTATGGGAGGGACTGAGGATTCGGGGCATCAAGGCCAGGGCCTTGGGAAAGCTGTTTGGAGGGGTTTCGTTCAAGCTCTGGTCCAAGGACTACACTGCTGAGACCCACCTTGGCAGAAGGGCAGATTGCACTGATTCCTGCCCAAACTGTGATATTCCTGCTTCTTTCCTACGTTGCACTTTTCTGGGCACTGAGCAGACTGGGCACTGACCTCTTTGATTCTCTGGCAACTCCGGGAGGAAGGGCTTAGACAAGGAAACCTACCCAAGGCCGCCCAGCAGGCCAGGATTTGAATCCCTTATGAATCTAACCTGAATTCTGGTGAAGGTCAAGGTCAGGGATGCAGGCACACATCCATGAGGTCAGAGGATGCTGCTGACCCCACACCAGCGATTCAGCCCTCTGGATGACTTCTGGGGAACCGAACCACATCCCATTTCTGCAAAGTGGTATTGCCAGGAATGCAAATGACAGGTAGAGATCTCTATCCATCATCTGAGTCTGGCTTCGTCATTTATTCATCAACTATTTATGGAGCAGGTACCATCTCCGAGGCCCATTTCGAGGGGCAAGAAGGCCCTGCCGTGGAGACATTTATCAGTGGAGGAGGGAAGTCACACACAGGGGAAGAGAGCTTGAATCAGATAAGGCAGGAAAGAGTAAATGCCACGTGAGTGGGGCACAGCGAGTTTTGGACGTTCCTCAAGGACAAGCGGGGCAGGGCTGTTCCAGGGCCAACAGGGGCAGAAAGGTCACCCTAACTCTGCAAAGACACAGTGGTTCCAGGTGGAACAAGAATGAACAGAATTTAAGAGGCAGATCCGAGGATGGGAAAGCGGGAGTTCCTGGGCGTGGCTTCTCCTTTCTGTCCATTTGTAACGTCAACGGGCTGCTGCTGGTTGGTTTCCTTCTTGCAGCCTTCACCCTGGTTTGTGGGCGGCTCTTGGTCGTGGGCTTGCACAGCCACCCCAGTCCTCAGCCGACCTCACCCCGGTCAGTGTCGGGAGAAATCCCTGGGACTGTCTGGGCCCCAGCTGAGGTGCTGCCACAAGCCCCAGGCTCTCGGCAGCTTAGATGGTTTCTTTAAGGGCAGAAGCCCCCAGCTGCTGCAGAGAAATATCTTCACTCTTCTGTTCTGCATCCTTCCTTGAAAGGCCTGCTTTGACTCTGTTGAAAGGAAAAGACAATTGGAAAAACGACATGGGAAGGGAGAAGGGAGGTGCTGAGGGGCAGGTGGCGTGTGCGCGGTGTTCAAGGGTGTTTGGGCCACAGGCAGTCTCCACTCTCCCAAAGCCCCCAGGGAAGGTGGAAGCCGCAGTGGCACGTCCTCTAGTCCTTGTGGGACACTGAGCGGGCGCCCTCCCGCTGTCCCGTCCGCTCCCTCCTTGCTCCATTCCTGAGGTCTCACAGCCGGCAGAGGCTGGCCTGGTTTAACAGTCAGACTTGGAAAACCTTCAGGGTCGAAGAGTTTTCCGATGAAACCCTGAGGCCAAACACACACCCAAGGTCACCCAGTGGGGTCTGGCTTGCCTGTGGACCACGTACACCAGCAGAGACCCTCGGGACTGGACACTGTCAGTGTCCTTCCTGCTCCAGGTAAAGCCAGCCCCAGGAGGCAGGGAGGGTGAGAGGGAAGGGAGTCACCTGGAACAGCCCCCAAACAGCCCGAAGGCTGCCCCTGGGCTCTCTGTCTTTTGACCAGATCCAATTCAGCCTTTTTCTCTTTTAACCCTCTAGTCTTTGAAATAACTGGTGTTCCATCTCCTCTAGTTTATTTTATCCTGGCCTGCAGACTGATAAGTATTTGTTCTACCTAACAGTCTTGGTTTTTGTATCTCCCTGTTTTAATCATTAACACATCTTGCCAATTTCTCCTGTCTACTGGTTCCATTTTTAGAACTTTTTCGACGTTCAAAACATTTTTTTTTTAAGATTTTATTTTTCTTCCCAAAGCCCCGTGGTACATAGTTGTGTATTTTTAGTTGTGGGTCCTTCTAGTTGTGGCATGTGGGATGCCGCCTCAGCATGGCTTGATGAGCGGTGCCATGTCCACGCCCAGGATTCAAACTGGTGAAACCCTGGGCCGCCTGCAGCGGAGCGTGCGAACTTAACCGCTCGGCCACAGGGCCGGTCCCTCAAAATGTTTTGCCAGTGTTTTTAACCTTACCTTTTAACTTTTCTATTTCTAATCTTTTAGTTCAATGGTTTAAACCATTTTTGTGGGGGTGATTATTTCTTAACATAATCACAAAGAAACGTTTCTTTCTTCTTGCTCTGCTGTCCTCGTCTCTATTCTGCCCTTTAAGACTCCTGGTCTTTCCGACTCTGTTGCTTGGGTTTGTTCAGCTTCTTGGTTTTACGTGTCGTGTGTCTGTGGGTGGGGACCGACAGGCAGGGCTCTCCCTCGCTACCTGCTTGTCCTCAGTTCTGTTTAATAGATTCCCCACCCCTTTAAAGACGATTCCTAAAATTGCAAAGGCAGACATTCTCCAGATTCAACTCTGCACTGGTCAGGTTTGCTCAACGCTACTTTTAAACTCATCAAACGAGCAAAGATGACCAGAGCCAGCCCGTTGTGTGACGTGAAATCCATGATCTTCTTTTTTAATGACTGAAATAGAGTGAAATTAGCATTAAAATCATGCTTGGGTCAGCTGTGCAACTGGAGGTCACTGTGAATAGCGGGGTGGCAGGAGGTCCCCGCTCACCAAGGACCTGGGCTTTGGCCTCAGTGGACAGCCCGATCAACGAAGGGTTGAAAATCTACCCCCCTCCCCCTCACCTTTCCATGCCCCGCTTCCAGGGGGCGAGCTCCATGGAAAGTGACTGGTTGGAGCCTTGAACTTTCTCCAGGCCAGTTTGCCTCTCTTCTGGATCTTTCCACCATCTTGGCAGACTTTAGGGAGCATCTCCCCAGGTCCCTTCCCTGGCTTCTGGGCCTGAAGAGGGGCTGCCCTGTGTCTGGGAAGTGACCTAATTGAATTCGTGTAACTTTTTCACTGTATGCCTCTTCCTCCTGATCATCAAAGGAAACCTGCTCAATATAGATAATTTGGAGATAATTTTAAAAATTTAAAGCAGTCAGGAAAAAAGAAAACGTCACCTATAACTTGAGGCGATGACTATCACCATTTTAGTATATTTCTTTCTCTCAACGTATTTCTTGAGATAATTAGGAAGATATCATAAGTAATTATAATATACTGCTTAACAGTATATTGTAAACATTCCTTATGCCATTAAACTCTCTTCATCAACCTAACTTTTAACTGTTGCATAATGTCAAAATTTATTTAAATTGTTGGATATTTGGAGCATTTACTTTTTTTTTAATGTACATTAAGCATGGTGATGAACATCCTTGTAAATAAACTTTGTCCACATTTCAGCTTGTTTTCTTGGGGCAGATTCCTGGAAATGCCGTTGCTGCTTGGAAGAATATGAAAATTGTTACAGTTCATGGTCAGTTATGCCAAAGAACCTTCCAGAAAGGCTTCAGGAGTTTCCTGCCCCCTACCCACACATCTCCTGCGTTGACTATCACTATATTTAAAAACCTTTCCCCGTTGGATGTTTAAAAATGACATCTCCCTGTTTGAATTACATTTCTTTGATCGTGACTGAGGTGAATACTTCTCTGTTTACTTCCTATTGGCGTTTCCTCCCTTGTGAATGCTCCATCCTGACATGAAAGGAAGTTTTGAACAGGTTTAGTCAACTGTTCCTTTGCTATGGTGCCCCAACAAACTGGGACATAAGCTCCACGAGTCACAGGGGCCGACCCCAGGACCACACGCATTCAGACCGTTTTGAAGAAACAGTATCTGGTCTCATGTTTAATGAAGAATCTGGCAATTTACACAGAAACAAATTATTTACAAATGGATTTTTGCCTGCCTACGAAATAAAGCTGGGGAAAGTCCACTTATGTCTTTACCTCAGGAACCGTGTCACAGGCGGCTTAGAGATAATCCTTCTTGGCGTGCCGCCATCTTGGGGATGGGTCACTTGAACCTTAGAAAGGGGTCATTTTCTTCTCATCTTAATCCTTGACATCCCAGGCCTGTGACCAGCAGTCATAATTGTTTGATGAGATTAGAAATTGAGAAAAATGAGATAAGCTTCATTCTTATTGTCCAAGTATCTGAAATTCCATTTGACTGACTCAGGAGAGAAGCTCTGTGTTGCTTCCCCTGCCCTGACCTCACCACTTCCTACCAAACTGAAACAAGTTGAATGGTTTCTGTCTCAAGTTTGGTTGGACAACAGCTGTCGAAAAGAACCCCAGACAGGTTATTGAGGAAGCCCACGGAGCAGGACACCCGGGAATCATGCAGGGGCAGGCTAAATGTGTACCTGACTAACAGCTTCTCAATGGCTCTTGAAGTCTCAACTGCAACGAGTCCTTATGGCTATTGGAACACACAATTGTGGTTGTAGAGAATGCATGCTTCATGGAGGTGACATTGCTTCCAAGGGGGCAAAAACTAGTTCTTCAGGGGCAAAAACATCTGCCATACCACAGTGGTTTGTGGCCTTCCAAAGGGCCGCAATAGAAGAACGGATACACAGTATATCTGTGGTATTAAAATATTATTGGGGGCCGGCTCCATGGCCGAGTGGTTAAGTTCGCGCACTCCGCTGCGGCGGCCCAGGGTTCGGATCCTGGGCGCGGACGTGGCACCGCTCGTCAGGCCACGTTGAGGCGGCGTCCCACATTCCACAACTAGAAGGATCTGCAACTAAGATATACAACTATGTACAGGGGGGGTTTGGGGAGATAAAGCAGAAAAAAAAAAAAAAAAGATTGGCAACAGTTGTTAGCCCAGGTGCCAATCTTTAAAAAAAAATAATAAAATAAAATATTATTGGGAGGGTGAGAGTGTAATTAGGAAAAATATATATGTTAAAAGACTCCTTATTGGGGGCTGGGGAGTAGGTTATAATGTAAAAAGTTTGAGAAACTCTGTTCTGGAGAAACTGCCCGAAACACCTAGACCCCAGGTCACATTTAGTCTGAGATTCAAGAACGCCAAGGAGACAGGAAGATCTTTTAAAAATATAAATCAGGGGCCGGCCCCATGGCCGAGTGGTTAAGTTCATGGCGGCCCAGGGTTTTACCGGTTCAGATCCTGGGCGCGGACATGGCACCACTCATCAGGCCACACTGAGGCAGCGTCCCACATGCCACAACTAGAAGGACCCACAACTAAAATACACACAACTATGTACTGGGGAAATTTGGGGAGAAAAAAAGCAGAAAAAAAAAGATTGGCAACAGTTGTTAGCTCAGGTGCTAATCTTTAAAAATACAAATCAGACCACATCAAATCCTTTTTTCGCAGTGGTTTCTCTGTTGACTGAAAATAAAAACCTAAATTCTCAGCCTGGTCTCTAGGGCTGCCCCGGGGCACCACTCCAGCCCCACCTGTCAGGTTCTCACCTGGCTCAGCAGCCCTCAGCTCTCTGGGACCTCAGGGGGCTTGCATGGGCTGTTCCCTCCTCCTGGGACACACTTGTCCCCTTCTCAGCCTGGCTAACTCCTCCTCCTCCTTTAAGTGTAGAGCCACCCCAACTTCCCAGTTGTTCTCTCTTAGTCACACCTTTATTTGCGCCTGGCACCTAGTAGGAAGTCAACGAATCGTAATTGAATACATGAATTAGATTTCAAAAAGCCTAAATTAAACACTAGGTAAAATCTTTGGCTTCCAGAACTCTGCAAACCTGCCAGACCAGCATTCACTAATCTCACCGGCTCACTCATGGCCCCGCTCTGTCTGGACGTGCTCCTGCTGGTGTCCACGCAAGAGCGGGCTTCGTTTCCCCAAGAAGTCAGCTTACTCTGCTTGCTAAATAAGCACCGTGTCCGTTTCCCCTTTAATAACGATAGGTCTAAACTTCTTGGGCAAAAGTTTACATGAGATGCAAATAGGCTTTGGGAGTGGCTAGTCTATTTTTTGGCATTGTTAACGCTAGTTATAATCCCAAGGGGAATTCTGGGAGGACAAGGGGAATCTGGAGGGGCGTGAGGTTAGAGGAGGTGGGGGTCGAGGGGATTGTCCTTTATCTGTTTATGAGAATGACAACCTGTGTCACCGAAAAGATATGAAAAGCTTTTCTTCCCTGCTCTGCCTGAACGATGCAATCCTAAAGCCGTTCCGTGGGGCAGAGCAAGGTGGGTGTCCCCGGTGGGGGGTGGCCTGGCGCAGGGTGACAGAGCGCAAGCAGGGTGCGGAGGGGGTCCATGCAGGGAGGGCCAGGTTACACGCAGGGGGACTGATCAAACAAGGAAATATGGTAAGGATGGAGGGAGGTACATTTCTCATTGTCAGAGAAGGGAGTTGAATATGAAAAGGGAGAAAACGGGGCTGAATCGGTGGTGTTGGATTGGAATTGGAGGGGTTGCTGTGAACTCACAGTTTCCAGTGTGATCTGTAGGTGGAGAAATAAAGATGTAAGGGTATGTGTATGTATCTATATGTATATTCGTGTATTCCCCACCTCTCCACTGGGAGGGCTTGAGGGCAGTAACGACAAGCCCCTCACATCTAGATCCTGGCTTCCGAATACCATTCTCTGCTATAATGAACCAGGACACTCAGAGAAATGGCTGCTCCCAGGACTGCCACAGGGAAACGATGAGCCCAGAATGTCTGGTTGTGCCAGAAAGCAAGGATATGCTCAAAGAAGTTTAAAAGGACACAGAAGTCAAAAGGTCCCCACTGGCCAAATCTAGGATAAATTGAGCATCAAAATAAACAGAGTATAATCCATTGAAAAAATGAGAAGCCATAAATCCATAATGATCCAAATAAATACATCATAAATTGAAAGTTTGATGAGGAAGGGAATATTTACATCATTTCAAAGTACTTGCCCACAAAATACTGGTTAATTACAGGGGGGAAAAAAGAGTAACTTCACAGTGGGGGAGTCTGGCAGATACCACCTTAATCAAGGGATTGAGAGATATCACAGGACAAATGAAAAATGTGTGCTGCCTGATAGGGTGTAATCAGCAGGACACAGTATCGCTTCTGCGACAGCACTGCCAGAGACGCATAAGCTATAACCTGTAACATCAGAACAACCCATACCCAGGGAAAATCTACAAAATAGCTAGTCTGTATCTTCAAAACAGTCAAGGTCCTTGTTAACTCACAGCTGATTTGTCATGGCTCTGTGTTCATCTTCAAAGCTATCTGGAGCCAAGACACTGACCATTAATGAAAACGAGGATGAAATGTACGAGCCGGTGATTTACAAGGTGCAGTTAAAGTCTGAACGCCCCTGGGAGGCAGCCTCTGTCAGCTTGTCTACACTGCTTATTGAAAACTGTAGATTCCCAAGGTCTGCAATTGGTTTACCGGGTTACAGCCCTGGTTTGGGTTGTGACCAATGGGATATAAAAGACCCCTCAGCAAACTCGTGCCTTGGCTTCCCTGAGATGGAGGTAGCCCACATTCATCGTGATAGCTAGCGAGGCAGAGATGAAAGGCACGCTGGGGACTAAGAGAGGCCGTGGGGAGTGCACCTTGCTACCCTGAGCCTCCCCGATCTTTGCCTGTATTTCCTTCCTCCTAGTGTATCGCATCCTTTGCCTTATGAAAGCGTTATGTAAGAGTGCTTTGTGGAGTCTTTTTTGTCCTTCCAGTTATAAAACCTTGTGTCATTGTTGGAGTCATGAGAGTCAAAGGGACACTTGAGGACCTAGTCCAGCCTGAAGGAGATGCGACAACTGAATGCCACCTGTGATTCTGAACCAGATCCTTTTGCTTCACAGGACATTGTTGGGGGGCAAAACTTGAATGAGGTCTGAGGATTAAATGGTAGTCATGTATCACCATTAATTTTCTGATTGCAGTGGCGATATGATGGTCATGTCGGAGAAGATCCTTGTTGGAGGACATACACGTTAAAGCATTTGGAAGAGATGTCAACAACTTTCTCTTATATGGTTCAGAAAAAAAAGTCCTTTGTCTAGCATAGCACTTCTGTAAGTTTGAGATTGTTCCCGATGTCACGCGCACACACAATTAAAAAAAATAAGCGATAAAAGCAATACAAAATATGGGACTACTTTACAACATCTGTTAAGCTTTAGAGAGCTTCCCACACTGTGGACATTAATAAGTTTTTCAGCTGTGCACCTGGGCCTCGCCTCCTGGGAGGAACGGACTCCCGTCAGGGCCAGCTAGATCAGACCCAACCGGAAATCGTTATGAGAAAGAATGGCTTGTTATCAACTACTATGAAGATTAAAATTATTTTTAGCAAATGGTCTCCATAATGTGATTAGTCCATATCCGCAACCACATACAGTAGTTTTGTTTTTTTTTGGGGGGGGGGAAGATTAGCCCTGAGCTAACTGCTGCCAATCCTCCTATTTTTGCTGAGGAAGACTGGCCCTGAGCTAACATCCGTGCCCATCTTCCTCTACTTTATATGTGGGACGCCTACCACAGCATGGCGTGGCAAGCAGTGCCATGTTCTCACCCGGGATCCGAACCAGCAAACCCTGGGCCGCAGAGAAGTGGAATGTGCGAACTTGACCACAGCGCCACCGGGTCGGCCCCAGTAGTTTTACAATAAATTGTTCCTGGCAAGGTCAAAGGACGCGATGCTACCTAAAACTAGAACTTCATTTGGTATTACTGGGATGTTTCTATAGTCAGGGTAGGCAAAATGTGATTTAAAAAATGTCCAGGCCAGATCATTACAGTGGTTCTGTCTGCAATATTAGGGGAGGGCACTTCTCCAACCATTTTTCATATACTTGGGCCCCTCAGGCAACATCTCAGAGCCTCTGCAAGTAAGCTCTGGATTGGGTTCTTGACAGGTATTTACCCAGCACCAGGATACCTGGACCTCCGTCTGTGGGGAGGGGGCGGGGCGGTGGAAGACAAGCAGGCAAAGGGCAAAGAAAGGAGCTCCAGACAGAGGGAACAGCCTTGGTGGTGGCCAGGCTGACCGTGGGGAGGTGAGCAGGGGCCAGGTCCGGGGCCTTGAAAGCTTTGAGATTTTATCCTCAGTGCAGAGGGGAGGCGGTGAAGGAGGGAGTGACGTGAATCTTTACACAATAAGCCTTTCCCACTAGCTGCTGTGTAGAGACTAAGAAGAGAGGGACCTGGGACGAGCAGAGTCTCTTGGAGTTGTCTCGACAAAAGATAATGGTGGCTAGGAGGACAGGGACGGCCATGGCGTGGAGAGAGACAGACAGATTCGAAACAAATTTTGGAGGCAGAATTGACAGGACTTGCCAAGGACGTATCTTTGATCTGCGTGAGTCCGGCGGCTCAGGTTAGACACGGGATGTTCATGGGGGGGGGCTATTTTTAAGGGCACCCACAGAGCCTGCTGGGCAGAGATGGGTTCAGCTGTGGGATCAAGCTGGACTCTCAGAGAAAGCTACAGTTTTGGGCTCTGTCACCTTCCCTGCCCCCACTCCTCAAAACTAAGGGTCTTCGCTGAGCCCACTGCTGCCGAAAAATGCTTCAAGGAGCCACACCAAGTCCCCTCTGGCACTCGTTAGGAACGTTGTCAAGGACATTGCTGTCATCTTACTCGGCGACCTCTCTAAGGAGACCCACAAGAGAAATTTCTTCTACTGCTAATTGCTAAGAAAAGCTTCATGTTCCCCAAGGAACTGTATTCCTTTTCGTCTCTGACAGTAAGACAAAAGTCACTAATGGGGTCCCCCTTTCTGCTGCCAGGAAGCTCTGAGCCACATGCGAAGCCCTACGCGGCAGCCGCACGGCCCTGTCTTTGCTTCAAAGGCGGGCACCTCTCCTCTGCCAAACCAGCATCCCATCCTCTGCCAGCTTCACTTCAACTCACGTTCTTATTCTTCCTGGTCCACAGTGTATTCTTGTTTCTATTTCCCCATTCGTTGCTGGCTCTGTTCTTTGGAAAGCTAAGCCTCCGCAGATGGAGGCGGTAGGCATCGCTGGTCTTTCCCCACGGCTCTCACTGGTCCAGCCAGGACGTTTTACCAGCTCAAGGATGCTTTTTGCCCCCAAGTGGTTTCAGTGGAACCTGCAGCCTGTTTGGCCGCCCCTACCCCACTATGCCCACAGACCCCTCACCTCCTCTCCATCGCCTCAATGGTCTCCACCAGGGGCATGTTGCGCGTCTCAGCCAAGAAGCAGACGGCCAGCCCGGCCAGGATCGAGGTGGCTCCGAAGCCCACAGGTGGCAGGACCGTGCCAAACTCCCCGAGCATGGTGACCAGGGGCGCCGCCAGGCCCCCGAGGCGGGCGTTGACCGAGGTGAAGCCCATCCCCATCTGCCTGTTCAAGGAGTGTGGACGGGTCAGTAGCCATGGCCTGGAGCCCCCAGAGGGCCGGGAGTGCCAGGGCCTGGGTGTCAGGGGGCAGAGCAGAAAGGAGAGAGGGGTCCCGCTTGGACAAACCCAGCAGGTGTCAACCTGGAGCACCAGGGCCTCCCGGGCCGGGACAGGCGCTCCTCTGCCTCCCCCCATGCACCCACCTGATCTCCGTGGGGTACAGCTCTCCCGTGAACAGGTACACGCAGATGAAGGAGCTGGCCAGGCAGCCTTTGCCCAGCGCCGCCTGGGCCGTGCGCAGGGTCTGCATATCTGGGGATGGGGGAGGCAGAGCCGGTGGGGTGGGGAGCTCAGAGCCTCAAATGGGAGCAGGGAGGCAAGGGGGGTAGTGGAGGGGGTGGGAGGGCCTCAGGAGGGGACAGGGGAGGGAGGCAGAGTCACGTGGCAGCGGTGGGGGGTGGGAATTGGGATTCTCACTACCTCACTGGTCCCACCTGGGGCCCAGAAGTTCCCCACTGCCCTTCTCTGACCTCTACCTCCTTCCTCCCTTATTGCCATCTGTCACCAAGTCCTGGGGGAAGGCTGACAAGCTTTGGAGTTAGGCCTGGGTTCAAATCCCAGCTCTGACCCAGCTGAGTGACCTTGGTTACTGTTACTTAACCTCTCTGAGCCTCCTTGTCCTCATCTGTAAAATGAGGAAAGTACCAGCGCCTGCTTCACAGGCTTGTCAGAAGGTTGACATGACGTCCTGGGTGCAAAGTGCTCAGTGCTCTTTAAACCTTAGCTGTTACCATCATTATGAATATGTTCGTCATGCTGTTGGTCATAAACAGCAAAACTCCAACGCACGTGTCCAACATCGGGGCACAGGTCAAGGACACTATGGCCCGTCCTCTGGATCTGGTGGCAGCTCCGTGTGGCACACAGAATCAAGAGGGGAGATTTTATAAAACACCCACACCTGGGCCTTGCCCCGTCTCCACTGTGGCAAAGCCTCTTCGGGATGGGCTCATAGTTGGGGTATTGGTTTTTTTTGAGGAAGATTAGCCCTGAGCTAACATCCACCGCCAATCCTCCTCTTTTTGCTGAGGAAGACTGGCCCTGAGCTAATATCTGTGCCCATCTTCCTCTATTTTATATGTGGGACGCCTACCACAGCATGGCTTTTGCCAAGCAGCGCCATGTCCGCACCCGGGATCCGAACCTGTGAACCCCGGCTGCTGAAGCAGAGTGTGTGAACTTAACTGTTATGCCTTGGGGCTGGTGCCAAGTTTGGGTATCTTTTACTTATTATTTTATTTTATTTTATTTTATTTTATTTTATTTATTTATTTTTTTAGGAAGATTAGCCCTGAGCTAACTGCTGCCAATCTTCCTCTTTTTGCTGAGGAAGATTGGCCCTGAGCTAACATCCGTGCCCATCTTCCTCTACTTTATATGTGGGACACCTGCCACAGCATGTCTTCTGCCAAGCTGTGCCATGTCTGCACCCGGGATCTGAACCAGTGAACCCCGGGCCGCTGAGAAGCGGTATGTGCGAACTTCACCGCTGCGCCACTGGGCCGGCCCTTGGGTACTTTTTAAAAGGTCCCCAGGAGAGTATAATGTGTAGCCAGAGTTGGAAAACACCAATCAAGATGAAGTATCATAAAATAATAAAAAATTAGGGTCAAGAAACATTTGTACTAACGTAGAAAAGAATGTTTATGTTACAACATATAATGAAAAAGGATACATTTTATAATATATACATGCGTATACATATATAATCCTATTTATAGTATTGTATATACACACGTAATATTATCTTAATTATGTCAAATGCAAAATCTATACATAGGAAAAAGCATCAGAAGAAAATATATCAAAATACCACTAGTACTAATCTATCTGCTCTACAAGGGAGGGAGTGAAGCACAGAGAAATGAGACAGCATGCCCCAGGCCATGGTGGCAGAGCTGGGACGCACGCTCCAGGATCTGATCCTCAACCCCGGCTTCCTGCTGGAATCGCTGCACAGTTTTTTAAATACTGAGGGTTGCGTCCCAGTCCTTGAAACTAATGGCATTGGCCTGGAACCCCTGGGCACTGGGGGTTTGCAAAGGTCTCCGGGTGGTGACAATTCCAGCCCGGTTTGCAAACCACTGCTCCAGGGCCAGCCCGCTGAGGTTCAACCCTGACTTCTCAACCCTCGTGATGCTGCCTGCGGGCTCCAGGTGGACACACCAGCCGGCCCTCTGGCTCTCCAGCTGTTTTTATGCATCAGTCTAATAATCTCTCTGGCAGGACAGTAAAGGCTTTGAAGGCAAAGACTCGTGTCCTTTGTAGATCCTCCACCATGTCGCGGATACTGGCACTAAGTGTTTAACAAGAACTCTACTATCTGGTGGCCACTTTATTTCCAGATCCAAAAGACTGTCTCAGCCTGTTCCCTTGTTGTACGTGTTGCCCACCAGTCCCCAGCCCCCTGGGGCTCCCAGGCCGTAACGGCAGAAGCGGATGGCTCACCTTCTGGCACGAACATGTTCGCGATCACCATGAGCCCAGCCACGATGAGGAAGGAGGCCACCGTGGCCCGGCGGCCCACGTAGATCATGGTGGTGGTGGCCACCAGCATGGCCGGGATGTCTATGACCCCGAACAGGACCTGCACCAGGTAGACGCTGAGCCCAAACTTCTGCAGGTCCATGGCCAGGCCGTAGTAAGCCATGGAGTTGGAGAACCTGGGAGCAGGGGCAGAATGGTCCTGTTTCACCCCAGGGTCCACTGTCCTGGACCCAGGGGATGGGGGACACACAAGGATAAATGACACAAGGCTCCTCTCCTCAGGATGTTAAAATCCCCTGACTTGGCACAACCCCCCCTCCCGGTCCCCTAAGTCTCTGACTTTGGCCCAGCCCCTCCCTCCACGTCCCTCTCCCTGAATCCAGTTGGTGGGACCTGGAGTGTGAGTGCCTTCCCCTGTCAGCACCTCCCCAGCCCCTCCACCTCCAGTAGCTGGTCTGAACATCACATCTAAGAGTTAGGGGGAGAAAACAGGAGGCTTCCAATGAGGCCAAGGCTCCACCGGCCCCTCACAGCGCCTCCCACTGTCCACTGGGAACTCGGCAGCTGCTTCTGCTGAGAGGGTCTACAGTCCAACCGACCACAAAAACCTGGGGTCCCCACACTTGGGGTCTCCACAGAAATTTCAGAGGCCCCCGAGGCAGTGTCTCAAAGAGATGTGTACACTCATGTTCATAGCAGCCTTGTTCACAAAAGCCAAAAGGCGGAAGCAACCCAAGCGTCCACCAACGGATGAATGATGAACAACACGTGGTCTATCCATACAATGGAATATTACTCAGCCTTCAAAAGGAAGAAATTCTGACCATGCCACAACATGGGTGAACCCTGAGGACGTTATGCTAAGTGAAATAAGCCATTCATAAAAAGATACATGCTGCATGATTCCGCTTATAGAAGGTCCCTAGAGGAGTCAAATTCAAATGGTGGTTTTGAGGGCCTGGGGAGAGCGAATGGGGAATTGCTGCTTAATGGGGACGGAGTTTCAGTTTGACAAGATGGAAAGAGCTCTGGTGATCGGTTGCCCAACAGCGTGAATGTACTTAACACTGCGGTACTGACCTGCACAGTTACAAACGGTTAAGATGGCAAATTTTATGTTACACGTATTTTACCACAACTAAGAAATAACAAAAACAGGACAAAACCAGGCGTTGTTTCTCTGCAGGCCACATGCCGGCACAGGCCCAGGAGCGTATGGGGAGGGGAGGTGGAAAAACAGAATTTGGCAGCGGGCTCTCTCCATCAGGGCCCAGCAGCTGCCTCCAAATTACTTCCCGAGAAACTCCTTCCACCCCTCCCAACTATCCCTGGCTATGTGAGTCACTGAAGATGGAAAAAAAGAGAAGAAACTTCTGGAAAAGCTGACAGTGATTCTTGTTGGCTCTAGTCAGGCCTGAGGGAGTCAAGGGAGAATCCAGGTCTGATTTCACCACTTCTCCTCCCAGATGGAGATCAGAGACGAGGCCCCCAACATATTGCTTTGAGCACTCTGGAAAACAGACAAACCCGGGTGAAATAGCTCATGGCCCTTAATGCTGCAGGGAAGGCCGCATGAGGTGGGCTTCGTCTGGTCTGGGGTTGTTATGCTGGAGAGCAGACAATCTGACCTTGGAAAGACCAGTTTTGCTTCATTAGTCCTCTCACCCCGCCTCGACAGGATGGGCGTTGCGCTGACCGCCCCTCGGCGTCCTTCTCTCCCCACCCTCGCTCTCCACCGGCTGCTCCCTTCTTGGCAGTTCCTCTTGTCCCTTAGTGTCCTCTCTGTCCCGTATTTTTCTGTCTTCTTCCCCTTCCTTCTTCTCTCAGTTGTAGATGTTCCTGCCTTTCTTTCCTTCCCGTGTCCATCTGTTGTGTGATTTGTTCCCCACACCATGTAAATGTTCTCCCATGCCGCTGCACACGGTCGTGAACGAAATGGACAAGACGCCTGCCCTCTCGGGGCTTCAGCTCTGGTGTGGAGACAGGCATTCAGGGAAGGAAACCCATGTTCCTCTCCCCACCATTGAAAAAACTTTGTCACATCATTAAACACGCAACAAGAGTACCCTTCACGTTTCCCTGCCTTGACATCTCCTGAAGGATCACAGGGACACCCTTCCTTTTAAAAACCCTCCTGAGGGGCTGGCCCCGTGGCCAAGTGGTTAAGTTCACACGCTCCACTGCAGGCAGCCCAGTGTTTCGTTGGTTTGAATCCTGGGCGCGGACATGGCGCTGCTCATCAAACCACGCTGTGGCAGCGTCCCACATGCCACAACTAGAAGGACCCACAACGAAGAATATACAACTATGTACCGGGGGGCTTTGGGGAGAAAAAGGAAAAAATAAAATCTTTAAAAACCCTCCCGAGCCTCTGGTCTTCTTTCCCAACACTTTGGCTTAGTTTTGGCAGGATGTGGAGTGACCCAGACCCCGAGGGCAGCAGAGAGGGGATGACAAAGATGGAGAACTTACAAGGAAAAGCTGGGGACTTTCATTGCCCATCCTCCTCCTCATCTCCCCTCCTCTGCCAGGGAGCCCAGAGCAAAGCCACGCCCCCACCTCTAGACGTTTTAGAAAAGCTTCTGTTATTTCCAGCAGAAATCTCGGACTGGGCCTGTCTGATTAGCGGCGGATCCCCTCTCTCCACCGCAATCCAAAACAGTTGCCTTCTTACTCTGTGCCCTACTTTCGTCTCTCGGGAAGAACGACTTTCCAAGGGTCAGCAAGAGAAAGGCCCCATCCCGACTCAGTTATGTTAAACCAGCAGAGTCCCCGATAATCCAAAATGATATTTTCCTCCTTGTGGCTCCTGGGACCCCCATGCCCTGCCTCATCAAAGATGAAACCTAGAAAACTCCTGTCCTGGTCACAAGGAGCTGTGACATCAGCTGGCAGATGAGGCTCCCCAAACAAAGACAAAATTCGTCCTTGCCTTCTCGTGCTCTCATCACTTAGAAATCACAAGAGTTGTAGGAGCTCTGTGCCAGGAGCTGGGGCAGAAACCAGTATCGATACTTTCTATGATCTCGAAGCAGATAAGATGACGTATTCACAGATGCCCGGGGTTACAACAGGGATCAATACTACTCATTGATTGAATATATACGTATATATATTCTGGGTACAATTTTTTGTTGGATTTTGGTTATTTTATTTTGGAATAAATTTATATTCACAGAAAAGTTGCAAAGTTACATCAGGACATCTTTGGGGGACCCTTATTCTGCACCACAAGTAGCATATTCATACAGCAGAATGCAATTCAACAAGAATAAGCTATGTACTACAACACGGATGCATCGCACAAACATAATACTGAACAAGAGACACTGGTTAAAGAAGAGTACACACCGTGTGATTAAATTTATGTGACGTTCAAAAATAAGCTAAAGTAATCTAGGGCATTAGAATAAGGATAGTGATTACCTTGGGGGAGGGCAGTGACTCCAAGGGGACACCAGAGGCTTCTGAGGGGGCTCTCCAGTTGCCCAAGCCAGAACTGACTGGCAGGCAACACTGTTGGAGCAGAAGCCCTCTGAAGGCCAGAGTGGGGGATAATCGCACATTTCCAGCGCACGTGGGACACAGCGTCAAATTCACACCAGAGAATAGACTCTTTCCCAAAGCGCTTTCCTGGGCAGGTGCAGGGGGACATGTCACCTTTTAGTCCTCAGAAGGACCTTAGGGGCAGGTGCATAAGTAGGAGACTGAGGCAGGGGGGCTGGCTGACTTGCTCCAGGTCACCCGGCTAGTCTTGTCTACAAGAGCCACTTGGTTACCACTAAAGAGCGTGGAGGGTCTGCTCCAGAGAGCGGATCATTCAGAGTCTACACCTCTGCTTCATAAATGTCAACCCCTGTTCTCTAAATGTCCAGGACATCCCGTCAAGCGAAATTAAAGTGGTCTTTTTTGTTTTCCGTCAGCCCCTTCCCTTAGGATTTGCCAGCTTCAAGTCTGTGCTGACGGGTAGAGGTTGCCTTTGTATTTTTTTTCTTCCCCAAAGCCCCAGCACGTAGTTGTATATCCTAGTTGTGAGTCATTCTAGTTCTTCTGTGTGGGATGCTGCCACAGCACGGCTGGATGAGAGGTGCGTAGGTCTGTGCCCAGGATCCAAACCGGTGAACCCCGGGCAGCCAAAGCAGAGTGCGTGAACTTAACCACTACGCCACCAGGCTGGCCCCTGCCTTTGTATTTGCATCCATTTCACATTTTCATGCCTGTCTATGTCCTTGTTAGGAATTCCTGCCCGCTCACCTGGCAAACTCTATTAACCATCTTTTAAAACCCACCTAAGGTATGCTGACAGATAAAAACTAGACTATTGGGGGTGAGAAGGTGCAGTCTATTCAGAAACAGCTATACAAAAATGTACACCTGAAATTACACAATGTTATAAACCAATAGGACCTCAATAAAACCATTTTTAAAAAAACCACTTAAATTCCGTCTCCTGTGTGACCGTCAGCAGCCCCAACCAGGAGAAAGTCTATTAGGACATTTGTCATACCTCATGGAAATTACTGTTTCCCTGTCTGTCCCCTTCTGGACCCACAAGTGTTCTTCCAGAATGGGACACTTCCAAGAACCCCCTGGAAAGCCCCAAGGGCCTATCAGGACGGGACAAGGTATGCTTTGAAAAAGCTATCTGGGTGCTTCCAATAGGTGCCCCCACCCAGGTGAGACCACTGCCCAGATGTGGGGGTCCCTAGATCAGCGTGGATGTCTCACCCATGGCCACCTCTTGGCATCCAGCAGAAGGCCAGAGGGCCCAGGACTCTCAGAGGACACTGGGAAAGAGTATGGGGCGGGATTGACTTCACAAGACTCACCTGCTCATTGCATGAAGCACATTTAAGAGTTTGTCAGTGGAGACAAAAGGCCTGTCCCTGCCTGGGGTCAAAGACTTGGGCATAAGCTGATCACCTACCAGACCACCATGAGACAGCAAGTGACCTTGCGGATGGCTGGGGTTCGGAAGAGGTCCAAGACCGAGTTGGAGGTGCGGATGCTTGTAAACTCACTCTGGATGTAGGAGCTCACCACCTGGGCAAGGAAAGCTTGTCAGGGGAAGAGAGGGACCTGGGCCCCATTTCCCTGCTGGGTATCCCTTTATCTGTGGAGAGGAGCGCCACGGTCGACGTCCCCCGCAAGATGGCTGGCCCTGGGCTCTTCCCCATCCTGGGACTGAAGGCCCTCCACGGGCTGTCTCCAGGGCTCCTGGGCTGCCTGTTGATTAGGCTGAATAGCCACTTGTGGTTCCAGCGGGACCCTCACGCCCCACCCTCCTGGTATAGACTGAGATCATCTCTGCTGATGATCACCGGCAGGGGTTCCGAGGGCTTCTGCCACTTGCCACCGTATGTTCTTTGGCAAATTACCTAAGTTATTGTTTCCCTGTCTGTCCCCTTCTGGACCTACAAGGGTTAGGTAACTTGGTAATGCAAACTTCAGTTTCCTCATCGGCAAAAGAGAGGCATTAAATGAGATTGTGTATAGAGCCCTTAGCACAGTGCCTGGCGTGGGGCTCGATAAATGGTCCTTATTTATAATAAGTGGTAAGTATCTTATCATAAACGGTATTTATAATAAATGGTACTTTTATTATTGATTCTTTGATAATTTCATTTTATGATTTCTATTTTAATATTTTTATTTTACTTTAGCATTTTATTTAAATTTTGGGGGGATGTCAACGGGAGCGGGTTATTTCCCCATTGCACAGATGGGTAAACTGATGAACAAAGCAGGTAAATTATTTATCCCGGATCGAGCAGTCATTCAATGGTTAAACATGGTTGCCACACAGCAACTCTTCCTTCTCTGTTTATTCCCAGCCCCTTCACCCGGATGGTGGCTGAGTCCTGGGCAGCTGCTGAGTCCCAGCACATCTGGAGGCCACCAGCGAGACTGAAAACTGTTCCTCCCTTCCTCCACCCATCCCGCCTACCTCCTTGGTCAGCCTTTCGCCTTCCTCCTTCCTCCCGTTCATGGCAGCCACCTTGCGCAGGTTCTGCACAGCGAGCTGGGACTTGCCGTGAAGGAGGAGCCAGCGCGATGACTCTGGCAGCCACCTGGGACCAAGAGAAGCATGAAGGATGACCCAGAGCTGATGGGAGCTCAGTCCATCCCCAAACCCAGGTATGCCTTCGTTTACCCTCCTTCAGACCCTAAAAACGGGAAAATGTCCTGCTGATGCAGAACCAGGAAGACCGGGGGACGCGCCAGCTTCCTTTTTTGCAGGATGTGGTACAGGGACTCGCTAGGGTACTTAGAGGCTACATGGGACTTGGGACTTCCACAGATCTGATTTTGAGTCTGGTTCTGACCCCAGTGGGTGGCCTTGAATAAGTCATGGACCCTCCCTGGGCTGTGCCTCAGTTCCCCTCCTATAAAATACCGTGAGTTTGTCCCAAAGGCAAAGCACTCGCCATGTTCTGGAGCCTCACACTAATGGAAGGGGTTTTACCAGAGCTTCGCGACAGCCATGCACAGGGCTCATGAGCCTGCGGCCCCCTGAACACCTGCCTGCCTTTGTGTGCCCCCCACGTCCAGCAGGTCCCAGCCACGGCACACCCCAAGCCTCTCACAGGAACAGGTGAGGCTCAGCCACACAGGTTCACCCTCCCCCACCCACTCTGCTCAGGACGTACCAAGAGTAGAGGAAAAAGACTAGGAAAGGAACAGAGACGGCAAATTGCAGCCACCGCCAGGGGCGGATCAGGTACGCCACTCCGGCCAGGATGAGCTGACCCAGGGTGAAGGAGTACCCCAGCAAGACCCCTGCCACGGTCCGGCCCCGGGTGGGCATCCACTCCACGACTGCAGAGAAAACCAGAACAGGTGCCGTTGGACTCAGCACCCACGCGGTTGTTAATTCCTCCACCCCTTTTTGTTTGTTTGTTTTAAAGATTTTAATTTTTCCTTTTTCTCCCCAAACCCCCTAGACGCCACCTCAGCGTGGTTTGATGAGCAGTGCCATGTCCGTGCCCAGGAGTCGAACCAACGAAACCCTGGGCTGCCTGCAGTGGAGCGCGCGAACTTAACCACTCTACCACAGGGCCAGCCCCCCTCCACCCCTTTTATGGTGACTCTGTGGCCACTTGAAATCATGCCAGAGATGCACTGAGACATGGGCAAAGGTGTGCCGGCCTCTCACCTTAAATTCCAGGTGGACCAAAGGACCAAATGTAACCAATAAAACCAAAAAAATATTAGAAGAAATCGTGGTAGACTTTTTTTTTTCAATCTTAGAATCCAAAAGCGTTTTCCAAGAATGTCACAAAACCCAGAAGAATGAAAGGAAAGATCAACAAACTTGACTTCATAAAAATAAGAAGTGTCTTCACTCAAAAAAACAAAACAAAACAGCATAAGCAAAGTCATAATGTCAGCAAAAAAAAAAAAAGCAACTCAACAGATAAAGGGTGAATTTCGGTAATACTGGAAGAGTTCTTACAGAGCAATAGGAAAACAGCCAATGAGCCAAAAGAAAAACAGGCAAAGGATGTGAACCGTTGGTAGAAAAGGAAATATAATGACTCAATTTCATGATTTTTTTGTAAATGGCAAAACTTGGAAACAACGTAACTGTCCCTCCACGGGGGACGGGTTAAATAAATCATGCACACTCTAATGAGGGAACCACAATAAATGGCTGAGGATGCTGCTGTCCAATGAGCAGCCAGCTCGTGTGTCCAGTCCATCAGCAAATCCTGCGGCTTCCACCTGCAGAATCCAGCAGAGCCCTTCCTGCCTCCTCTCCTGCTACACCCGGCCCAAGCCAGCCTCGCCTCTGGCCGAGTGACCGCAGGAGGCCCGGAACTGGCCTCTAGAGGGATCCTGGCAAATGCTGAGTCAGATCACGTCAGGCCTTTCCTCAGCCCAGGACCCTCCAGAGCTCCCGTCTCACGCAATCGATACCCAAGTCCCTAAATGAGCACAGTGCCTGAGGACCTGCCCCTCCCTCCCTGACCTCATCTGTCCCCAGCCCCCAGCTCCGCTCCAGCCACAAGGATCCCCTCCTCTTGAGCGCAATAGGCAGACTCCCCACTCAGGGCTTTTGCTGGAATGGTCTTCTCTAGAGAGCCAGGGTGCACTGCCTCGCCTCCTCCGAGCTTTGCCAGGGTGACCCCTCTCAGTGAGGCCTTCCCTGACCAAGCCAGGGAAACCTGCAGCCTCTCCCCCACCCCACCATTCTTGTTCCCTTTCTGGGATTTAGTTTTCCTCTGTAGCCCCTATCAAATTTTAAAATACTATATAATTCGCTTATTAGTGTTGTTTATTGTCTGTCTTCCCACACAACAACACGGACTCCACAGGAGCAGGGATCCGCTCCTTCATTGCTGCATCTCTAGTGCTTAGAATCACGTCTGGCACACAGTAGTAGGTGTGTGTGTGTGTGTGTCTGCATAGAGGTCTGTGTGGTATGGGTGTGCTTATATAGGGTGCATGTGTGTGCAGGGGTGTGGGCGTGTCGAGGTGAGTGTGTGTGTACATGGGGTGTGTGTGTTATGGAGGCAATTCTAGCATGAGCTGGACCTTGGACGTCCGTTCCTGCCCTCAGATTCCACAAGTCGTGGCTGGACGCCCTCCCCGAAGAGTGGGGGTGGGGTGGGGTGGGGTGGGATTACTGAGATCCCACCATGAGCTCAGCGCCCTTCCATGCCCTGACATGGGGAAGGCGGGTGTCAGGTGCCACTGGCCTGGTGCATCCTGGTTCTCCAGCCCCAATATCCACCCCCCACCCACCCCCCTGAGATGTAGGATCCTCCCTGAGGCATGGCGGTGTCCCCAGAGCAGACTGAGTAATTAGAAGGAAGTGCAGGCAGGCCTGTCTCCAGGTGGGCTTCTTGCTGACCCACAGTGCTCTCTGCCAGAGCCACCCGGGGGCTGCTTGGTACCAGCCTGGAGTGAGTACTGACCCGGTCACTTTGGGGTGGGGACATTCCCACCTGGCATCCAGGAAGGTAGGTCTCCACCATGGTGCTAAGGAGTTGCCGCCTTTGCCGGCGGGGTCAGCCTCGCCCTTTTTGGAGGCTCTTCATCTCTGGGCTTCCTGCAGCTCTGGGGACCATTGAGTCTCACCTCATTTCTGTGTCCCCACACCGAGCCCCCCACTGAGCCTGGAACACAGTTGGTGCCTAGTAAGTGGTTACTGATGACTAACTCAGGCAGGAAATAAACCCAACCCTCTCCGCTCACAGACGGGTGAATGGCAGCCCAGGTCCACAGCTCGCTGCCGGCGGGGCCGCTGCTGAGAGCCCAGGTCTCCCCAGAACCCCTGGGAGGCTCTGAGTCCAGGTCACTGGATGAGAATCCCAACACGACGAAACAGGAAAGACGCCCAGTGAGGGGGCCACCTCCCCCTGTTCCGTGAGCACCCCTCCCCTCCAGGCCCCTCCTTGGCTGGACTCACCCAGAGAGAGGGAGTTGAGGATGATGCCGGAGAAGGTCATGCCCATCAGGAACCGGAAGACGCAGTAGGCACTGAAGGAGCTGACGTACGCCGTGGCGGCCCCCGAAACTGCCAGCTGCAGGTACGACCAGACCAGAGGGCCCTTGCGACCCAGCCTGAGCTGGGCCATGGGCACATGGTTAGGTTTCCAGAGGCGCCAGCAGCATCTCCCGTGGGAGATGTCGAGGGAGGGTGAGAAGAAGCTGCTCCCCACCCACGCCTACCCCTGCCCACCACCCCAAAGCCACCCCTCCATAACAGAACATCCGCTGGGAGCAGGCACTGGCGGCGGAGGTTGGTCATGGGGGGAGAAGTGTGTTGGGGAAGAAAACTGGAGATGAAGAGATGTATTCCCTCCTTCCTTCCTTCACTCAAGGAGTATTTCTGGCCCCCTACCAAGCCCCCAATCTTCCAGGGTCTGGGAAAGGCAGAGATGCTGCAAAGGCCCCGAGGCCGGTGTGGTAGGTGGTGGGAGGGTCCCCTGAGTGCCTTTGTGGTTGGAGGGAGGCCTCAGACCAGAACTCCCAGGGGTGGGCCCTTGGCAGGGGCCCAGGCTGGTAAGAGCAGGACCCCGGGGCCAAGTCTTCATTGAACTGGTTGTGTTCGGGAGGTCAGCGGGGGTGCGAGGGCTTGTCACACCTCAGAGGAGTCCCAGGCCGGGGTGGCAGGGTTATTCCACTCCAGCCTTGGCACTGCCCCATTTGTAAGTGACGGTCCAGGGTTGGAGCCCCAGCTTGGCCAGGAGGATGGCATTTCTTCTCCATAGCCCATGACACACTCATTCATTCATTCACTCATTCATTTTGTTACACAAATGTTCATTGATCACCTCTAAGTGGCAGGCCTGAGCTGGGGGCTGGTGACACAGAAGACACTATGGATAAGAAAGAAGCTCAAATGAAGGAGGACCAGGATGTGTTGTGACACGGTGCAATGAGGGCTGTGACAGAGTCAGCCACGAGGGGCCTGAGGCATGTTGCCCAGGGGGCAGTCTACACTCCAGGGTGTGTGGTCTGGAGTCCGGGAGGATCCCCCAGAACCTGAACTGGCAAGAGCAAGAGGAGGGACAGCGGGGAGGGGAGAGGAGAGGGGGAGAGAAGGGGAGGAAGAGCCGGAAAGGAAAGAGAAAGAGGGCAGAGCAGGCGCGGCCGCCGACTCCGCAGAGCCATGCAGCACGTTGGGCTTCCCGGGCGTCTCTCCAGAGGTGCCCGGTCCATCGGTAGGGGCGGTCACCATTAGTTCTGGCTCATTCGTACAGGATAGAAGGGAGGACAGGAAGGCTCCTTCTAAAGGAACATGCAGAGGCCTTAAAGTGAAGAAAAAGTCAGACACAGAAGCACGTGTGGGGTGTGCCAGGCTTTGTACAAAAATGGAAGGACGGAGCCTATGCACGCCTCTGCTTGGATTGCATCAGACATAAAACATCTCTGGTGAGATACAGAGAGACCAGGCTGCCCTCCAGCAGTTTCTGCAGGGCAGGGGTTGGAGTGGGAAAGGGACGCCTCCTGCATGCTCTCTTGTACCTTCTGGAATTTTGAACCATGTGAATGTATTATGGGCATTATCAATTCGAAAATACATGAATAAAATTTAATAAAGAAAAATTAATGAAGACCCTCGTCCCCAAAGGCTCACCTGTCTGCAAGGGTGCCAAACACGGTGGCGCCCACCAGCACCCCGGCCATGTAGATGGACTGAGCCAGGTCGCGGAGGGCGCGGGCCTCGCACACCAGGTCCCACTGTGAGGGAGAGAGGGATGCTCCAGCCTCGGCCTTGGGCAGTGCCCCCCGCCTCCTGGCCCCCTCTGACCTCCATCACGATGGTGGACGGGAAGACGCTGCGGTCGTAGACCCAGCCGTCCCTGCAGCCCTCCGTGGCCGCCCCCTGGACGGAGGTGTTGGGGCTCAGGAGGGCCCACTGAGGCTCTGTGAAGCGCCGGCACGGCTCGGGGTCCCCCAGCCGGTCCAGGGGCACGGTGGCCCTCAGCCAGGCTCCTGAGTTGTCAGTGGCAGCCACAGTGTGGTTGGTGGGGCCCTGGCAGTGGTGGCGGGGCACGGCGGCCGTGAAGTTCTGCAGGAAGTTGTGGCAGGCCAGCAGGCTGCAGGGCAGCAGCAGCATGGCCGTGTAGATGAGCTGGAAGCGACCCACGCCACCCAGGGCATCCAGCAGGTCTGTGAAGGCCATGGCCATGGCTGAGGCCCAGCCCGCCAGGCCTTATGTAAGGGGCCGGGATGGGGCCTCCGGAGGTGGAGGAACAGGCCAGGGGGTTAGGACCGCAGATGCCCCGTGTCCGGCAGCTCAGAGGAGTTTGGTTACACCTCACAGGAGGCCTCGGGTGTCCCCGTGTCTAGAGGCTTCCCCTCTCTCCGGGCCATTTCTCCTCATTTCTTTCAATCTCTCAGATCCTGAGTTGGAAAAGCAAGGGGTCCCAGAGGGCCCACCACCCGGCCCGCTGCCCTCGTCGGGAGGACCCCAGCAGTAAATGAGCACCATAGCCACCTTCCCCTCTTTTCTGGAGGCCACTGTGAGTCATCTTCAAGAGCCCAATTCCAGCCTCAGCACGTGGGACCCAGTCCCTGTCACGGGCTCCACTGAGGCCGGAGCCTTCACTGCTCGGTGGTCAGATAAGGGGGTACTAGTGATTGTGACTGCTTGCCCCATGCCCACTTGCTGAGAAGTCAGGAGACACTTGGGAAAAAAGTCCTCTAAAAATGCCCCAGAAGGGCAGCCAAGAGGAAGCCCTGCTACCCCGGTCCCCACCGCAGGCACTCTCAGCCTCAGAGTGGGGCTTCAGGAGGGCGTAGGGCCCCCAGACCATCTAGACCCAGTGTTCCAACCTTCTCATCAAAAAAACCCCAGAGAACTCTGCCGCACCGCCCGCCCCCCCCACCCCCCGCTCTCTCTGGCCTCTCTCAGACCACCTCAGGCTCCCAGGAAGCGAGGGGCCACTTCCCTTATGGATGACAGCGAGGCCCAGCAGGACGGGGCCAGGCAACATGCAGGCCCAGGACAGCCCACTCCAGGCCCTGTGGCAGCCTGTGGCAGGTAGTGTCCAGGCAGTTGGCCACTCGGGGCTCCAGCTGGGGCTTCACCCAGGGCTCCCAGCAGCCGAGTGGCCCCCACCCTCCACCTGGGCTCCGTCAGCCTTTGCCCTGCAGATCTGCCCGTTTGTGGCTCGCCCACCCCCACACAGTCCTTCCTATCCCCTCCTCCACCCCCACCTCAACCCACTCTTATCTCTGGTAAGATAGGCCAGGATCCCAGGGGGGGGTGGAGCGGCTTACATAAGCTGCAGGTGTCTGGGTCACAAGGGGCAACCCCCCCCACCCCATTAACAAAGGACCTGAAGGAGGCTCTGTGCTCTGGGGAGCTTCCTAGGGGGTCGGGTTTGTGCTAATTACAGATTCAGGTTTCAGGCAGAGCCTCACAGGCTGGAGTGTGCGGGGCAGGAAGGGGTCAGGCCTCCGGGGCTGTGAGGAGGCCGTGTAGGACCAGCAGTGTGGCCCTGCCCCTCAGCCCGGGCACTATCCTCCCAGATGCCCAGTACTCCAGCAGCGGTTCCAGCCTCCGGGGGGATGGGGAAGGAGATGGGGTGGGGGGGAGGCCCCAAGCAGTGGGCAGCAGGTGTGGGCAGAAACACACTCCGGAGACAGAAGGGGGGCCTTTTCCTTTATTATGTGGGGTTTCTCTGCATGGAAACATGAGACCCGCCCCCCCCATACCCAGGTACCTCTGGCACCCCCCATAACTGGTACACCAGTGCCTGAAGAGTCCCCTTTAAAATCACCAATATAAAAAAGGAGGGAGGGAGGGAGGGGGCGAACAGCTGACCATCCTCCAGGCCAGGTGGCTCCTGGTTGGCAGGCAGGGCTGGGGGGCAGGCCGAGGGGGGTAGTGGCTGCTGCACAGGAAGGAACAGGTGTTCCCAGCCTCGGGGAGGGGGCTCCACACACATAGACGCGGACTGCGCAGGGTTAGTGGTTACGTTTAAAGTCCGCAGGTGAGGCCAGGTGGGTGGGCTGGGGGGTGGCCTTGGGAGTGAGGGGAGGCGACACATCAGGATGCCGAGAGGCCTGGGGCTGTCAGCTACCCCTGGAGCCCCATCCTGAGGCAGGAACAAGCAAAAGCTGCCTTCCTGGCTTGGCGATGGGATGGGAGGGAACAGCAGAGTCCATCCTGAGCTCGCGGCCGCTGGAGGCAGGGAGGGCCACACGGCTCTGCCCGCGCAGAGGAACCGCGGCGCCTGGGAGGTGAGGGACAGGAGGATGAGGCCGCTTCCTGCTCCGAGAAAGGCACTTGCAGCTGGTGTGGCCTGGTGTGGCATGGCGGGAAGGCATGGCTTGGCAGACGAGAAAGGGAGAGGGGCGCAGCAAGGGGGCCTGGCCCCGCCTCAGGCAAACATGGTCAGCTGTAACCACTGCCAGTTGGAGAGGAGAGAGGGGTGCAGTCAGCGGGGACACAGCAACCCCAAGTCCAGCCTCCCAGCCCCACAGCTCGGGAGCCACACCTCTTCCCTCCTCTGAGGGCAGGTGGGACACAGAAGGCACTGCCTTGCCTCCTCCAGCCCTGGGAGACCACACTGCTGGCTCCTGTAGAGGCCGCCAGGCTTGGCCTCCCTTCCCAGAGCCCAGACACCCTCAACCCGGCCTTCCAGGACTCCAGGTGGCCCAGCCTGTAGGGCTGGTTCTGAGGCCACAGGCTCCTGCCCCATAAAGGCAAGAAAACCCCCCCACTGAGCACCTTCACCCACCAGCCAAGGGAGGCCCCACCTTAAACAAGTCAAAGGTCACGACTCCATCCAGATCTGTGTCCAGAGTTTTGAAAAACCCTGTATGTTCAAGAAAAGATGACGTGGGCTGAGAACTCAGTGGGACATTCACGCAAGGCCAGGACCAGCCCCGTCCTGCCTCACCGCCACCTCCCCACAGCATCCCAGTGTGTCCCTGCTGCAGCCGGGCAGCGGCTCTCCCTGCTGCCTGAGGGCCCCTCCAGAGCTCCCTCCCACCCCAGGGTCCCGGCACTAAGCCCGCGGGGCGCCCGACCCCGGAGACCCTGGCATCTCTGGCACGCGCCATGGCATGGGCCTGTGGCCGTCCTTCCCACCAGCTCGTGGGGGACGAGTGTGAGATGGAGCTGGAGAACGGGAGGAGGATGGGACACTCACGGAACATGGTCTCCAGCCGCACCAGGCAGCACACGAAGTTGTCAAAGTCCACGGCCAGGTCGGGCTCCGAGTAGCGGGTGATAATGAGCTCATACAGCTTCTTGTTGAGCTTGAAGCCTGGCCCGGGAGGGTGGGTGAAGGTCAGGGAGACACGGCATGGCCGAGGGGACAGGGAGGGGAACTGGGGCTGCGCAGGGTGAGCCCCAAGGCTCGGGGCAGGAAGACTTCCAGAGCAGAGCCAGGAGCTGGGAAGGGCTGGGCAAGCAGGTGCCTGTGCCAGAGGGCCCTCGAGGGCCCGGACTGCCCCAGGGAACCAGGCTGGCCACCGAGGGCCAGGGGTCCAGTTTCACTTGCTCTGGAAGCCCAGGCCTCATCCTGACATGGGACTGTGAAGATGAGCCCTGTGCCTCTCTCACTGGAGACTCTAGGGCTCGGCTCCAGCCCTCCCCGGCTGTGTGGCCTCAGGCCACTTTCCCTCTCTGGGCTGCGCTTTGCGCACAATGTGGATAATAATAATAATAAAAAAAAAAACCCTACAAAATGCTGATAAAGCGCTTTCCTCAGGAACCATGAGAAAAAGGCAAAGGTGGCTGTTACCACATCACCACCACGGCCACTGTCACCCCAGGGACAAGGGCCAGCGGGGTGGGCCACCGCCCTAGGTAGCTGTCAGGGAGGCGGCCTGGGGCCATCTGTCTGGGGTTCCAGAGGTGCTGCCAGCCCCGGGGCCTCACCTGCAGACTCGATGGCCATCCGCATCTCGTAGGCGCTCATGCTGCCCGACTTGTCCAAGTCAAACTTCCGGAAGATGGACTGGGGCGGGAGCAGAGAGTGAGGGCTAGGCCGAGGCATCAGCCCTCCCAGGCCGCCCCAGGGTGCGAGGTTGTTGAGGGTGGAGGGGAGAGGCCCGGAGGGTGGGTCAGTTGCTGGGATATGTCGGCTCTGAGAGGCAGACCCAGGGTGGAGGGCCAAGCCCACACAGCCGTCCTGGGGGCCTGCGGCCCGGCCTGCCTGCTGTGGCTAAGGCTGCAAAGGAGGGAGGGCACCCAGCAGGGACCACCTACCAGGTAATTCCGGATGCGGTTCCACAGGATGTTGAACTCCACCAGGCCCAGCTTCCCGTTGCCGTCCCGCTGGGGGGCCGTTAAGAAGGAAACTGCACAGCTTGAACCCAGCCCAGCGTGAGAGTGAACAGCAGGGAAAGGCCGAGACTGGCCGCAGAGAGAGCAAGACTCGGGAAGGAGGGGAGAGCCCACGCACGGCCAGCCTGCAGCCAGGCCGGCCTCCCTCTCTGAATCAGGGTGGGCTGGGAGGGGTGCAGAAGAGCACCAGCCTCAGGGTCACCCGGGGGACCCACGCCCTGCTCCACCTTTCACTTGACACGAGGCCCGAGCCTCAGTGCCGCCTCCCAATCAGTGTCCCTCCAGCTCCACAGGGCTTTGTCCCTTCCTCCACAAAGTTCCAGGGACAGGGAACCCAGCGCCCCTGTACGCCTACACCCCAGCGCTCGAAACCACAGCCAACGGGGGGATACATCCATGAGGTTCACCATGCTGCGGCACGACTCCAGGCTGAAGCCCTTGGTCCGCAGGTCTTTGTCTGCAAGAGAAGCAGTTCCGGCACCTCAACCCAGCGAGCTCCCTGGGCCTGCCCCGTGCTGGGGGCACCGCGCGGGCGGGCGTCAGGGAGGCACCAGCCCTGTCCCCTGGTGTGTGAAATCTAGCCGAGCAGGTGTGTAAGATTATTTCTGTCATCGGCAAGAACAGTTTAAAGCATTGTAGCAGTCAAGCCGGTGTCCCACTAGCCATGTCAACACCACGATTAGACCAGAGTAAAATGACCCGACTCCTAAGAAGTGAAAGAAGAGCAGTAGAAACACGCAGCAAAGCTGCTCACGGCAGGGCTGGGTCTGCAGCAGGCCCCGAAGGCTGAGAAGAGAAGGAGAGGGGTTCTGGGCCAAGGGAGCAGCCCGGATGGAGGCTGGAGGTCAGAGGGCGGTGGCAGGCAACGGCACAGCAGTTCAGGGAAGGCAGAGCTGCTGTGTGGCCAAGGCCACCGGCAAAGGGGAGGCTGGGGGGCAGCTGCCATCCGTTGTGCACACTGGGCAGTGAAGACAACCACGCTTCCGCTCCCAAGCCACTTGGCCTGGCCCGGGGGCGTGTCTTCTGGAGGAAAGGTGGCCTGTTTCTTGGCACTAATGTGCTGTCAGCCAGCTAAGCTTCTAACCCCACCAGGGCACACGCTCAGGCACAGAGAATGGGGTCCAGTGAGCAGCGTCAGGAGTTTGGGAGGAACATGGGGGCGCAGGGCTCAGAAAGGCAGTGGAGGGTTCCCCCCGACGAAGACCAAGGGGTCGGGTTCAGCTCAACGTGGGAGCAGAAGCCTAGATTCTGGAGTTTGGAGGAAATGGGGGGCAGGATGTGGGTGGAGAGCAGCCGCTGGGGATGCTCACGTTTGCTGATGATCCTGTTGAGAATGGTCTGCAGCTCCCTGACGCTGATCTCCATGTCCTGGGGGAAGAGAGAGCTTGGCACCTGCCCTGGGGAAGGGCTTCCCCCCGGGGCCCCGGAGCGCCCCCCACACCTACCGTCCCTGCCAGTTGTCTGAAGAGGTTCTTGAAGGTCTCGTCAATCTCCTGTTCTGACAGCACTTGCTGGATGGAGAAGGGGGAGAGCAGGTCAGGGGTGCCCCAGCCCAGCCCCTGAGGGAGCAGCTGAAGACAGGGCTGGGACCGCTCATCAGCTACGTGTCACTTCACTTCTCTGACCCTCACTCTTCTCCTCCGTAAGATGGGACTCTAGTCCCCACTGTACCCCCTGCCCAGGGCTCTTGCAGCCTAAAGGAGGAGGCGGCAGTTCAGCTCAGTGATGAGGGACGGCTTTGGATCCCTGTTGCACAGCCTTGGGCAAGCCCCTTGAGTTCTGTGAACTTGAGTGTCCTGCTGAGGGGAGATGACCAAGGCACCCTGACCGGGCTGTTGTGGAGGACATGGGGTGACCCAGGTGAAGAGCTCAGCACAGAGTGAAAGCCCAGGGACCCCGTGCCACATCACCACATGGACCTTTACAAACTGTAAAGTGCTGGGCAAACGAGGGATTAGTGTCACTCTCATGACTCCTGTCAGGAGGGGCTCTGCCCTGCCAGCTGGAGCCCAGGGGACGGGATGTCTAGGTCCTTATCACACACCTGGGGTGAGGGAGAGGAGGAAGGCGCCTGGTGGGGACAGGGCACGTACCTCATCAGGGAGATTGGCCTGGATCTGGTCGTCCAGCTCCCTGAGAGGGTGGGGAGAAAGAGGGGTCAGTTGGGGGAAGCAGGGGGGCCTGTAGGCGAGGGTGGGGGGGCCCTTGACTCACTGGGTCCCGGCTTTCTTCTCCGAGAAGAAGCGTAGCACGAAGTCGCCCTCCTTGTTGGGCTCGAAGGTGGACGGCACCACCACGTACTCCCCGGGCGGCAGGCGGAAGCGGGTGCTGACCTCGCGCAGGTTGATAAACTGCTCCGATCGGGCCCGCGACGAGTTGGCCAGGAAGAAGTCCCGCTTCAGGTGCACGGCCGGCTGGCCCACCAGCTGGCGGGAGGGAAGGAGGGGCGGGGGCTGCAGTGGCCGACTCAGCCCACCCCTAGGAGCTGCCCCTAGACCCAGACCCAGACCCCAGGCTCCAAGTTCTGGCTAAGGGGCCGGAGAGCAGGGCCGCGGCTCAGTCATCTGCAGGCTGCATGACCCAGACAAGTCACTGTGCCTCAGTTTCCTCATCTGTAAAATGGGGTAACACCCCTGCCTGCTGCATAGGGTGGAGGTGAGGAGATAGTGGACGTGAATGCAGACACTGTGCACCATGAAACAGCACGCTCATCATTATCACTTGGAGTTTCCCCAAGTCAGACACTGCAGGGCGCTTGACACGGGCACCTCATTTACGGCTCATGACGGCCCTGTGAAATGGCATTCTTGTGCCCACTTTACAGACACTGACACCGAGGCTTAGAGCTTAAGCCACTTGCTCGAAGGAGCAGAACCCCTGGCTAGACTGCCACCTGCCCCCTCTCAGTGCCCCAGGGGCCTCAGCCAGCACTCACTGGGTGTGAGCAGTGAGACAGGAAGAGCTCATGCATGTGTGGTGGACGGGGCTCCGAGGGCCAGGGTTCAAATCCAGGTCCCTCACTTACTACCTGCTCTGACCCCAGGTGAGCAGGGTTTGTCCTGCCCGCTGAACAGCGGCCGGGGCCGGGGGAGCACTGAGGGAGCCATCAAACAAGGTGACCTCTTGGTTCTCTACGTGTGCCGTCCTGCTCCCCTCTGGACGCCGTCATGCCAGTCAGGCCATGTGCGCTCAGGGGCATGTGAAGCCAGGTGAGCCGGGTGCCACACCTACCTCCCGAGGGACCTGCAAGAGAGACAAAGGACGTTAGAGAAAGTGTGCTTGGCCCGTGGCTGGGGGTGTGGTGCATGCTGGGCAGGGCTCCTGAGTTCTTAGAGGCAGGGCCCTGGGCCTGGGGCCAGTAGTGACCCAGACCTGTCTTCACACCAGCCAGGAACCCCAGGACCCCAGGAGGGGGGCCCAGGCAGGGCCCTCTTTGTCCCTGGAATGCCCTGGGCCTCAGCTCTGAATCAGAGCTGCCAAGGTGGGCAGCTGCGATGTCCTACCGCTAGGGTCCACACCAACCTGCTGCCAGGGGCTCTGGCCCGAGGCCGAAGCCGCGGCCATCCTTTACCCCTACCAGGGAGGTCTGGAAGTTTCTGTCTGTCTTAAATACACTGCGTGAAAGAGGGCCCTCCATAGCCTGCCTCGGCTTCTGCACTTCTAAGCCAGGGAACTCACTACGCTCCAGGGCAGGCCGCTTGCCCACTTCTTTCTGAAGCTGAGCCAAAATCTGTCCCCCGGAAGCTGCCTCCCAGGTGCCAGCTGAGCCAAACCCCTCTTCCCAAGAGGAGCCCTCTGGCCTCCAAGGATGGGGGAGGATCCCAGGATCTTCCTCCCCTCCCCCGCCTCAGAGGATGACTTTTAGGCCCCGGCCCACCCCAAGCCTGGCAGAGGGCCTCAGAGGTGCCTCCCAGGGGCTCCTTCTAGGGCTTCCTGTCTCAGGGGTGTGAGTGGCCCCAGTCCGCTCAGGATGGGTGGGCTGGCGGGCAGCAGCGGTGTCCTCTGGCGCCCCCTGGCGCCCCCTGGCAGAGCTTGCCTGCAGTGGGGTGACAGGCTGGCTTTCCCTGCAGGGTTCTATGCGGATGCGCCCGACCCACCACCTCACCTCGTAGACCGCGAAGCCAATGGTCTCCATATCGCGGCCGAAGCGGCGCTCGCGGCGGCGGTTCTTCTGCATGAGGGCGAGCACGAAGCTGCAGCCTGACTCGCGGCCCCCGTAGTCGTCATCCGGGTCATCTGGCTCCTCCAGCTGGATCTTGAACTGAGGGTTCACCCAGAAGGTGGCTGCAGGAGGTGGGGAGGTGGGGAGGCGGAGATCAGAGGAGGGTCAGAGCACAGCAGCCTTCCCCTCCCCCATGCGTCCCTCCATCCATTCATTCATTCAACAAATATTACTAAGTGTCCACCAAGGTGACAGATATGCAGTGGGGACATACATGGTCCCTGCCTTCATGGACTCACATTCCAGAAGGGGAGGCAAAGTACGAGCAAGTCAGGTTAATTAATAGAACAATCACGAAGAATAAGCAAACTGGACTTGTCAGGGAAGGCATCTTTGAGGAGGTGACATCTGAGCGGAGACCTGAAGGGAAAGCCCTGGGAAGTAGGAGCCAGGCAGAGGGACAATCAAGAGCCACACACATGGCGGGACAGCCAGTGTCCAGTGAGGCTCCGGGCTCCGGTGAGTACGGGGTACCAGGGAGGTGGCAGAGGTTGCAGGAGCTGGGTTGATGATAAGGAGCACAGACTGAATCAAAGAGCAGAAGGGCCTCTTGCCGGGCTTGCACCAGCAGGGGCAAGACTGCATGAGTGACAAGGACCTGCATGTCCGGCAGTTTGGTGATTCAGCCGCCGGAACAACCCCGCTGACTAAAAACAACCAAGTGCTGGATAGAATAATCAGAATTTCTTTTTAAAGGCACTAATAAGCCACAGCATCCCCCCCACCGATTCCCCCCAAATTTACATTAATCAAAAAGATAGATAACGTGTTGGCAAGGACGTGGAGAAATTAGAAATTCATCACGGCTGGTGGGAATGTAAAATGGAGCAGCCACTTTGAAAAATAGTCTGGCAGTTCCCCAAATGGTTAAACATGGAATTGCCATGACCCAGCAATTCCACTCCTAGGTCTACAACCCAGATAAATGAAAACACGCATCCACACAAAAACTTGTACGCGAATGTTCACAGTAGCACTACTTATAACAGCCAAACGGGAGAAACCACCCAATTTTCCACCAACTGATGAACGGATAAACAAAATGTGGCCTAAGTGAATAATGGAACATTACTGAACAATGAAAAGGAATGGGGTGCCAATCCTTGCCATAACACGAGTGAACCGTGAAAACATCATGCTAAGTGAAAGAAGCCAGACACAAAGGACCACATATTGTATGATTCCCTTTATATTAAATGTCCGGAACAGGCAGATTCATTGAGACAGAAAGATTAGTGGTTGCCTGGGCATGAGGGGGAGGACGGACTTAGGAGTGACAGCTACGGGGTGTAGGGTTTCTCTTTGGGGTAATGAAAATGTTGTAAAGTTAATGTGATGAACTCACAACTTTATGAAAACACTAAAAGCCACAGTGGATCCGACACTTTACATGGGTGGATTATCTAGCATGTGAATTATATCTTAACAAAGCTGTTTAAAAAAATGGAAACTAGATGGGGCCAGCCCAGGTGGCATAGTGGTTAAGTTAGGCATGCTCCACTTTGGCGGCCCAAGTTCAGTTCCTGGGCATGGACCTACACCACTCATCGGTGGCCACCCACATACAAAATAGAGGAAGACTGGCACAGGGCAAATCTTCCTCAGCAAAAAAAAAAAAAAAAAAAAAAAAAGGAAACTAAGAGCCGTGCAAGATAAATAATGTCAAAGGACTTCTGTTGCCTCCTGGAGACCCTAAGTCCAGGGTCAGGAGATAAAGTCCAAGAGGAGGTTCCCTCAGTAAAAGTGGGACCCAAGCAAGGAACACCAGCAGCACATGGGTGAGAGAAAAGTAAACTGGGAGGGAGGAAGGGAAAAAAATTCTCCCTGAGAATTTAGAACCACAAGCCAGCCTTCACGTGAGCTTGCAGTTTTAACTCATGCTGCCTGTGAGGTCTAGGAAAGCGTAAGGAGAGAGTTTATTTTTAAAAGAGTTCTGGGTTGGTAGTATCCCAGGCGACTGGCAGAAACACTCTGGAAGAACTTAACTGCATCCAAGGACTCAAGGAACTCCCAGAGATGAACTTCTAGGCCAAGTGAGACGAAAACCTCACAATGACACAAGGCAGGACGCTGAGAACCAGCAGCCAGGAGGGACAAAAACCAACCCACCAAGACTTCAGATAGTGAAATTATCAGACACAGAATACAAAAGACTATGCTTACTATATTTAAAGAAATAAATGAGAAGCTTGAAAACCTGAGCAAGAATGAATACATTTGAAAGACAGTCATTAAAACTCTGTTAAGGGGCCAGCCCAGTGGCATAGTGGTTACGTTTGGGCACTCCACTTTGGCAGCCCAGGGTTTGCAGGTTCAGATCCTGGGCATGGACCTAACACTGCTCATCAAGCCATGCTGTGGCAGCATCCCACATAAAACAGAAGAAAATTGGCAACAGATGTTAGGTCAGGGCCAACCTTCCTCACCAAAAACAAAAAAACTTCCAGAAATAAATTTTTCAATTGAAATTAAGTACTTGTTGGAAGGATTAATCAACAGATTTGACACAGCAAAGAAGAAAATTAGTGAATTGAGAATGGATCTGAAGAAACTACCCAGAATGCAATCCAAGGAGACAAAGAGATGGAAAATGTAAGCAATGTCAAGAGATACAGAGGACTGAGTGAGGAGATCCAATTTACAACTGACTGGAATTCCAAAAGGAGAAAATAAAGAGAGTCAAAGCAGGGGATATTCTAAAAGATCATGACTAAGAGTCTGCTAGAACCGTTGAAAGACATCAATCTTCACAGCCAGGAATCTCAACAAATCCAAAGCAGAATAAAAAGAAATCTACACTTCGACATATGGTCAAATTGCAGAATGTCAAAGAAAAATTATGTTAAAAGAGATAACAGACAAACCATTTCGAAGATATGCTAGACAGACTCCTGACTTGCAGAGCAACAACGAAAGCAGAATAAAGAGTAACAGCATCTTCACTGGGCTGAAAGCAACGTCAATACAGAATTCTATATCCAGAGAATTGTCAAAACGAGCATATTATAAAGGTATTTTATGCAAATACTGAGAAAGTTTATTACCAAAAGACTCTCACTAAAAGAAATACAAAAGGATGTATTTCAGGCAGACGGAAATGATCTTAGATAAAAGGTCTGAGAATGGTGAGCAAAATACTGTTATTATATGGGCAATCCAAATAAATACAGACTATATCAAATAATGATGATGACGTTTAATTAATGGCAGAAAGAAAACTGTTTAGAATTAAAATACTAGTTGAAAACAGCACATTAAATTAAGAGAGGGGTGATTCAAGTTAAATGTTCTAAAGTCTTTGCATTGTTCAGGAAGAGGGTAAAGATACTGACCAATTAACTTTAGAATTTATTTAGCAAGCTCTTATGCTTTCCAAATTCACAGAGGGAAAAACTGGTAGAGAAAAGAAAAACTCAATCCAAGAGAACGCATAGCAGGAGGGACAAACAGAAAACGCATACTAAGTTTGCTGAAATAAATACAAATAAATCAGTAACCACAGTGAGTGTAAATGGATTAAACTTTCCAACCACAGGACAAAATTTCTCAAACTGGATTATTAAAAAAGCCAGCTGCAGGCTGTCAACAAGAGACAGCTACTAAAACACTGAGCTGTAGAAAGATTAGACACCAGTGTAACAAGACACAGCACAAAAACCCTAACCAAGAGAAAACTCGAATAGCTATAGGAACATCGACTGAAAGAGACTTGAAAGTAAAAAGAATTATTAGAGATGAAGGTGGTCACTAGGTAACGAAAAAAGGTGTAATTCACTAGGAACTGCTAAGAATTCTAAACTCACACCAAATTTCATAGCTCAAAATACGTAAAGAAAAATAATAGAAAGAAATAAAGGAAGAAATTGGCAAAGGCACCAGGATGGTGTGAAATTTTATCATCCCTCTTCAGGTAAATGATAGATTAAGCAGGCAACACAATCAATAAGTTTGGTACAACGAACAATTATAGAACACAGCTTCTAACACTCAGAGAATAGTGTTCTGGTCAAAGGAACAGACTCAGGCCCACACCTCCTGGGTTCCAATCCCAGCTCTGCCCCTTATTAATGACTTTGACAAACTGCTTCTCTGTGACTCACTTTCCTTATCTGTAAAATAAAGATAGTAACGGTTTATCTCGCAGAGACAGTGTGAAAGTTAAGCAAATTATATTTAAAATATCTGGAAGAGTGCTTGGTATATAGCATGCAAGAGACATAACCATTAGCCAGTCTTTCTGGAAACGTGAACATCCACGTAACCCTATATGCTGGGCCATAGCACCAGCTTCTGTTCATTTCAAAGCTATGATCTCATGCAGATCCTATATTCCGGCCACAAAGAAATTAAGTTAGAAATCAATAATAAAACAACTACTAGGAGGTAGTAACTGGGAGGTTTTGATTACTTATTCAATCTCTACATTGTTACACGTCTATTTTCTATTTTGGTTCTTTCTTTCTAAGAACTTGTCCATTTCATGGAGGTTATCTAATTTGTTGGCATACAATTGTTCACAGTACTTCTTTACAATCCATTTACTTTTGTTAGTGGTAGTGATGTTCTCTCTTTAACTCCTGATTTTAGTAGAGTCTTCTTTTGTCTTTTCTCTTTTTTTCCTTAATCTTCTTTCTTTTTTACCGCCGTCCCAGACCCCTCGTCCGCAGGCCTCACCCTCCGTCCTGGCCACCCCCACCCCCACCCCCTTCCTCCTGCGGCGCGGCCCCGCAGGTAGGCGAGCAGCTCGCGCAGCAGCGCCGTGCTCTCGGGGTCCAGCGCGCTCGGGGTCCAGCTCGTCCTGCTCGAGCAGCGCCGAGAAGAGGTCCAGGCCGCGCTGCACCCGCTCCAGCCTCCTCTTGCCCACGAGGCCCTGGCACAGGAACTTGAGCTCGGTCACCTCGCTGCTCGACAGGTCGGCCGACACGGAACGCAGCAGCACCAGGAACTGACCCATAGCGGCGGGTGGCCGCGGGGCCAGGTCCAGCCCGGCCCGGCCAGCCGCCCGCGCTCGGTAACGCGACCCACTGCTCCCCGCTCAAGCGCCGCGCGCTGTCTCCCGCGC